CTGAAAAGATGGCTGATTCTGTCTTCCTGATTCTGTTGAGGTATGTTTTGTGTCCTAGCACATGGTCTATTTTGGAAAATGTTCCGTGTGCACTGGAGAAGAATGTGTATTCTTTCTTTTTGGGGTGTAACGCCCTGTATAGGTCTATAAGCCCTCTCTCTTCTATTTCTTCTTTCAATCCAATGATTCCTTGCTGGGTTTTGTTCTTGTTGATCTGTCCAGAGGTGATAGGGCGATGTTGAAGTCTCTAAGTACTATTGTGTTGCTTTCATTGTCCTTAAAATCTGTTAGCAGTTGTTTTAAATATTTAGCTGTTCCCTCATTCGGTGCTTATACATTTAAGAGTGTGATTTCTTTCTGTTGTACGTATCCCTCGATGAAGAGAAAATAGCCTTCACTGTCCCTTCTTGTCTTTTTCAAGGTGAAATTAATGTTGTCGGATACTAGCATTGCCACCCCAGCTTTTTTGCAGGAGCTGTTTGCTTGCAGGATTGTTTTCCATCCTTTGACTTTGAGTCTATGTTTGCTCTGAGTGTTGAGATGAGTTTCTTGTAGGCAGCAGAATGTTGGGTTCTGTCTCTGTATTCATTTTGCTACTCTGTGTCTCTTCAATGGTGAATTTAGACCATTGACATTGAGAGAGAGTTTGGTTATGGGGTTTTGTGTCATGTTTCTGTGCGTGTGTGTTGTGGTTGTAAGGTTTGTCTTGTCTTATAGTAGCCCCTTTGGGCCTTGTTTTAGATTTGCTTTTGAGTCTATGAAGTTCCTGAGCTGCTGTTTATCTAGAATATAGTGTAGCGTCCCTTCCATTTTGAGTGAGCGTTTAGCCGGATAGAGTATTCTTGGTGAAGCATTCATTTCAGTGAGTTTTTTCACTGTAGCTCAACCCTGCCTTCGGGCTTGTAGGGTTTCCTCTGATAGGTCTGCTGTGAATCTCAGGGGTGCTCCTTTGTATGTGATTTCCTTTTTTGCCCTTGCTGCTTGCAGTATTGTGTCTCTATTGGCAGCATCGATCATTCTAACTATAACATGTCTTGGAGTGTTTCTGTTAGGGTCTCTTTTAGCTGGCACCCTTCGGGCTTCTTCACTCTGAATGGCTTTATTGTGGAGCTCTGGGAATTTCTCAGCGATGATTTGTTTAACCATGGTTTTTTCATTGGGATTGTTTCCCTGAGCTTTTGGTATTCCAATGATTCTAATGTTGTTTCTTTTGGAATCGTCTCCTAGGACTCTGATTCTCTGTAGGGCTATTTTGAGGTCCTTTGCCACTGTTTGATGTTGCGTGTTGGCTTGGTGCAGCTGATCTTCCAGCTCACTGATTCTCTCCTCAGCTGTGGTCATTCTATTTTTGAGGGCACAGAGTGAGTTTTTGATTTTATCTATGGAATCTGTGATCCGTGCCATTTCTGTGTGAAGCTTTCCAATTTCCGCTCTCATTTCTTGCTGTATTTTGTCGATTGTGCGATCAATTGTTTCTTTCATGTCCTCTTTCAATTTAGCAGATATCTGTCTGACTGTTTCATTGGGTTGATTGAACATGTTAATGACTTCATATCTGAATTCCTTGTCAGAGAGGTCCCTAAGGTGCCTAGCACCTATTGATGCTTCTGGACTTATTTCCTCGTCGTCTCCCTGTGGCGGGGATTTGCATTGTTTCTTCATGTTGTTATGTAGTGTTGGGGTCAGATTTCTTGATTTGAGTAAACTACCTGTGGCCGCATGAGAATTGGCCCACTGAAAATTAGGCCACGCCCACTTTTAAAAAGTCACGCCCACCTCTAAAGTGGCCACACCCCCACGGATACCTGGTGTGTGTCCGGGTGGGGAGAAGAGACCAGCTCGGTTGGGGGGGCGGAAAGGGAGAGGCAGTGAGGCTCAGATCAAGAACTTGTTTTCTTAATGAAGATATTCATTAAATTATGTTACAGAGTCTAGTAGTTTGGATAGATGAGCTCTAAGTGTCTTTATTTTGCATCATCCATAAATCTCTATTTTCCATATAAGAAAAAGATCAAGTAACATAATTGAAAATAAGTGGGAAAGAGAAGTCTACCAGGAGTGTTTTCTGAGTGCAGGCCCAGGAGCAAACTCTGAGCACTACGGGGTATGGCCAAAAAAACAAATAATAATAACAATTATAAAAGTAACAAAAATATTGTGCTGTTTTCTTCAATCTAGCATTTGCAAACCATATATTTTTAAAAAAATGAGAACTGAAAAGAATTCACTGGTACAGAAAGAGAAACTTTTTATCTGTTTCCAGGATTATTCTTGTATTAAGGACAATCTTACTGCAGTAATTCATGTGATGCACTTTGGTATCTATGTTGATTAATTTATTTTTTAAAAAAATCTTTACACTTTGTGAAGAGATTAAAGTGAAATATTTTCAGAATGGAACTTCTTTTTAAACACCAAATGCAAGGGAATTATAGCTTCTGACCTGGCATGAAAAGAGCATTGAAGTCTTCTTTTCCTTTGTTATAATAAGAAAAAAGTTAAACAACTGAAAATCAACTGTCACTGTCCTCCCGTTGTTCATCAACTTGCTGGATGCTTGAGCAGGCCCAGTAACATTGTGAGACTTGTTACTGTGTTTGGCATATCGAATACATCATGAGCAGCTTGCCAAGCTTTGCCATGCTGGTGAGATACTCTTGCCGGGCTCTCTGAGAAGGGTGGAGGAATCAAACTTGGGTTGGCTGTGTTGGCTGCATGCAAGGCAAATGCCCTACTGCTGTGCTATCGCTCCAAACACTTTTAAAATCTATTACATAATTGAGGGAGCCAGAGTGATAGCATAGTGGGTAAGGCATTTGTCTTGCATGCGACAGACCTGGGTTCAATTCCTCCGCCCCTCTCAGAGAGCCAGGCAAGCTACCAAGAGTATTCTGCCTGCATGTCAAAGTCTGGCAAGCTACCCGTGAGGTATTCAATATGCCAAAAACAGTAACAGGTTTCACAATGGAGACGTTATTGGTGCCCTCTCAAGCACATTGATGAACAACGGGAGGACAGTGCTACAGTGCTACATAAAATTGAGGTACTGGGATAGAGCAGTGGTACAATGGGTAGAGCACTGCCTTGCACATAGCTGACCTGAGTTCAATCCCCTGTACTGGCTATGGTCCCCTGATCCCTCCAGAAGTGATCCCCAAACATAGAGCCAGGAATAAGCCAGGGACAATACCTGGTATAGCCCAAAAACCAAAAAAAGAAATAGAAAATAATTGAGATCACAATCCCTTTTTTTTTTAGAGAGATAAATAGAAACAAAGAATCTTCAACTAGGTTAATCAGAAGCTTACAAATAGAACCCAAATGGGTAGTAAATACCTGGGTGATAAATTCTAATGGATTGCTATGAGCTTGGTGTGGATAGGTGAAATAAATCCCCAGAGAGACTATGTTAGGAGAACTTCTTACTTATAGGAATTTTAACTTCATAAGCCTTACTATTCTCAATGAATTCAACAGAGAAATATCATCTCTTTTTAGTAAGGGGAGGGAAAAGTAATTTATTAGATTTCTTAAACTATTTTGTTTTTCTTAATGAAACCTTTCCTCAAAAGAAACTATCTTACCAGAACCTGATGTGGGGATAAATACTAAATCACAAAAATAGAATTTACTGTATTCTTATATTATCAATAAAGTAAAATGGTGACAGTTTTGAAGGACAACTGGTTTTAATTATATCATTTGAGCGTTCACTTTTGTAAATGTATATATTTAAGAATATAGTGATCAGAGAGATAGTACAAGGGTTAAGGCACTTGCCTTGTATGTAGCTGACCCAAGTTCGATTCCCAGCACTACATATGGTCCCCTAAGCACTGCCAGGAGTAATCTGTGAGCACAGAGCCAGAAAAACCTAAACATGGCTGGGTGTGTCCCCAAACAAAAAATTTAGAAATCTAAATTAAAGAAGACAATTATAGAAATAGAGAAAATTCAATTTATTTAGACACGTGCTATTGAAATTCACACACACAAAAAATTGAATTAGTTCATATCTATTAAAAATTTTCATTAAAAAACTATAAAATAAAAGGTGTCAAGTCTAAATAGTTTCCCTGACTAATTTTCCCAAATATTCAAAGAATAATAATATTGATTCTATAAAATATATTCCATAAAATAAATGAAGGGAATATTTTCTTACTCATTCAGTGAGACCAGTAATGTCCTAATGCTAAACATAAGAGATAAGAAATAAAAACTACTGAATAATATCTTTATCAACATGCATGCAAAAATACATAATAGATATTAGCAAATCTAATTCTACCAAGAAAATAAGTGATTTTTTCACTACAACCAAGTGTTATTTATTCTCAATGTTTATCTTATTTAATACTGAAAAATATGCAATCTACAGTTTGTTGCAGAATAATTCAAAAAAGTATATTATTATATCAAAATATGAAGAAAATAAATATTTAACAAATCCCAACATCTGTTTATGACAAAATTCCCCAATAACATATGAATTGAGATAAACTTCTACAAGTTGGTGAAGAATACTTATATTTCTTATTTCTACAGCCCATCTTCTTAAATTGGAATAATACAGAGGTGGTTTGTATGGTTCTTGAAGAAGAATGACACAATGATTTATAATGTATTTCATATATTTATTGTGACTAACACATATATCCTAAATATGTGAAGTTATGCAAGTGTTCATTAACTTAATTGTGAAAATCCTCTCTCACTGTGTATGATAAAAACCATTGTGTCTACACATTAAATATATTACAATTTTGTCAGTTATACCCAGATGAATTTGGTGAATTATATAATCATATTAACACTTTTTATTTATAGGAATTAGATGTAATCTATATGTTTCACAAAATGAAGATTATTGTTTAATTTATATCTGGTTATATTTTGGGGAAAAACATTTTGCCAATGGCTTTTGTACATTATACTTCATGCTAAAATATATTATTCTTCACTAAAAAGTTGTATTCATTGTATTTGTCTATTTAAAGGTAGTGGCCAACATTTCCTTTATGTCAACTCATCTGGCTCCAAAGAAGGATATACTGCAAGAATCATTACTTCCCAATCCTTCCCAGCAAGTCTTGGATTGTGCATAGTTCGATTCTGGTTCTACATCGTCGATCCCAGGAATATGGGAATATTAAAGGTATAAAAGACACAAAGAATTGTGTTTTACTGAAAATTGTTTATGGTAGTTTTGTTTTGTGTTTGCGGTAGCCATACACCAACAATTCTGACTCCATTAATTTCTCATTTCATTCTGGGGTCATGAAACTAACAAGATGTGCCGTTATTCATCTTGATATCATTCCAGTTATCTCATTCGTGACTGTCACCTGAATTACATTATAATTTATGCTATAAAAGATGATCTAATATAAGAGAATATGGCAGGAACTACATGTATCTTCTAGTAAGAATTTAGGTAAGTCCATGAAGAAATATGAGGACCAGGAAGTGATGAATTTTTCATCACAAAGTAAAGGTAAAGCAAAATTAAGATTTTAAGATATATCAACACACAGCTGTAGGGCGTTCGCCTTACAAGCGGCCAACATGGCCGACCCGAGTTCGATTCCTCCGCCCCTCTCGGAGAGCCCAGCAAGCTACCGAGAGTATTCGATATGCCAGACACAGTAACAACAAAGTCTCCAATGAAGACGTTACTGGGCCCGCTCGAGCAAATCGACGATCAACGGGAGAGCCTTTATCTTTTATCTATCAACTCACACTAAAACAGTGTATAGGCTCCAGTTTTAATTATTTTAAGAAAAAAATTTTTGCACACATTTATTGAAAGAGATAAGTTGGTACATTTATAGTCAGATTATATAAAAGATCAGTGAGCTTTTCAATCATAACAAATTAATTTTTTCATTATTGGTGTCTAGTTAAAAATTAGTTGAATATTAGACTACAATTCTTAGTTTTGCTTTAAAAAGCTTATCTTTAGGACTAGAGCAATATCACAGCTGGTAGGGCTTTTGCCTTGTACATGCCCACCCTGGGTTTGATCCCTGTCACCCAAAATGGTCCTTCAAGCCCACCAGGAGTGATCCTTGAGCAAGTGCCAGGAGGAAGACCAGAGCAGTGCTGTGTGTGGTTCCTCCCACAAAAAAAGAAATAAAGGAAGGAAGGAAGGGAGGAAGGAAGGAAAGAAGGAAGGAAGGAAGGAAGGAAGGAAGGAAGGAAGGAAGGAAGGAAGGAAGGAAGGGAGGAAGGAAGGAAGAAAAAAAGAAAGGAGAAGGAGAAGAAGGGAAGGAAGGAAGGAAGGAAGGAAGGAAGGAAGGAAGGAAGGAAGGAAGGGAGGAAGGGAGGGAAGAAAGAAAGAAAGGAGGAAGGAAAAAGACTGATTTAAACTTGTCTTTATCTCAAAAATTGCCCTTATGAAAGAACAGCAGTTATTAAATGATTTATGTCTTTGAAACTGTATATTATAAGCTCTTATGTATTATTGGGTTTTATTCTCACATTCTTTGGCTGAGGGAAAGAATAATTCTTAATTTTAGAATAGACAGACTTAAAATCACATAAAATCTTTTTTCTTAATTAAACAATTTGCGAAAAATCTAGACAAGTTTAGGGAAAAGGGAAAACAAAATTTTATTAGTGTAGCTCTTGCTACACAAGAGAGCACTTCTCTAAGAGAAGAGTGATAAGCTTGCAAGGAAAGTTTATAATATATACTCATCTGACATTGGGCTGGAGCAATAGCACAGCAGGTAGGGTGTTTGCCTTGCAAGCGGCCAACATGGCCGACCCAAGTTCAATTCTTCCGCCCCTCTTGGAGAGTCTGGCAAGCTACTGAGAGTATCTCGCCCGCATGGCAAAGCCTGGCAAGCTACCCGTGATGTATTTGATGTGCCAAACACAGTAACAAGTCTCACAATGTTACTGGGCCTACTCAAGAAAATTGATGAACAATGGGAGGACGGGACAGTGACAGGACATCTGACATTAATGTATGTTTTCATAGAAGTCAATGAAAAAAAGGTAAATATACTCATTTCAACTCTTTAGAGACATGTGATGAAGACCATGTGAGAATTTTGGAATTTTTTCCTACAATATGTGTCCATTCAGTAGATTAGCCTTTTGTCTTATACAAATTTTATCCAGGGCAATTTATAACCACTGATCTTAAAGAAACTCTGTCATGCTGACATTTACTGATTTAAACATAGTTTCAATAGAGGACACAAAGTCAATGGTTGTTAGATAACAGGAGAATGAACAAACACTAATAGAAATACCAATAGACATTTTGAATGAATCCAAACAGAATTCAATCTCTTTCTAACAAAATGCTGCTTCCTCAATTCAAAATGAATATTCACATCTTTTTTAGCAATTCTCAAAGTGGTCAGTGGTAAAATGGTAAATTGGTAAAGTAGTAAAGTGGTAAATTCTAACCAAGATAGCTAAGCCAACTACCCAGTAAAACACTACTGTGTTTATGCTTCTGTCAGCAGCCTTTGAAATGGAAATGTTGATTTTCCATCTTGATTTCTGAAACCTTTCTTTTGGTGATTTCTGTTTGTCCTAACTCAATGGCAGTGATTAAGAGTAGCAATGCTCTGAAGGTTTCCAAGTTTTCAGAGGCATCAGCTGGATGGAATGCTAAGAGAGGAACTGTAATCTGACAGGCATCTGGATTTTTGGCATAGGATTTTTTTTCCCACTCCAGTTGGTCTGCCAGAGTTGGCTGTCCCTTTCTTTAATTTTGGCCATTGTCAGGTTCCATCTTCTGCAGCATGGGGGCATGGTACAAAGACTTCTCTTTTTTCTGTATCACATCTTGTAGGGATGTACATGAGATTTGAGACTACAGGAGGTATCTTTTATAACGGCACACAATTTTTTCTTTGAAAGAAGCTAACTCACAAGGCACACAGAAACAGAGAAATAGGATGATTTCTGCTCTGTTATAACCTTGGGTCTACTTTGCTTTAATGAGATAGTAAAACCCTCCTTTTATTATTTCCTACTTAAATTGTATAATATACACACCGTGGAACACTTATGCAACCATACGCAAAGATGGAAGCTTGCAGTATGCTACTACGTGAATGGAACTGGAGGGCATCATGTTAGGAGAAATAGGTCAGTGGGAAAAAGACAGAGACGGGATGATCACACTCATCAGTGGTATATAGAGAGAGAAACCTAGGGGAAAGACGGTATCAAATGATAGTGAAGACTTTACCTTAGATTGCAGGTATATCAAGAGAGGGGAGTGTTTAGAGGCAGAGAAAAAATGAAGAAATGGACTGATGTCATATAAAAAGGGTGGAGGAGAGTCTTGGTTGATTGTGAGGCATTGGTAACTGTCTATATCAAAATCAGAAATTCTAACACTATTGGGAACATGTGACCTAATCTATGATATACTTTTTGAAAGTCCAAACATTTGCAGAAACCTAAAAGGGAATGGATCTCTTGCTAGGCTAAGACTCACTTTTTTTCTCTAATTTTCTGAAGAATCTTGAGTACTTCTCAGACTGATCTCTTTCCTGGTTGTGTTTTTATATGTGAGAGAATCAGTGAAGAGGAAACCTATCCATCCTATTCTTAATGAGGTTATATGGCAACATATTTAGCTCCTTATGAGTATTGTGAGCTTTTCTTATAATCGTCAATTATGGAATTGTAGTGCTACATTTTGCAATTTTTAGAGCATTGTTCTACAACTGATCTGTTGCATTTGATGTGATTGTAGTCACGTGTGAAAATTTTTGATGGACAAAATTCTTCTGACAATGAGTATGACAGTCTTATTTTTTTGTTTGTTTTCTGGAAAAATAACTGAATGTCAAAAGGCAAAACAAACAAAATTTTAACTGATTTATTGTGATTTTGTAGGTTGGCTTATTTTTTTTTGTTTTGGGGTTACACCAGTGATGTGTAGGGGTTATTCCTGGCTCTGCACTCAAGAATTAAAACTACTGGTTGTACTCGGGTACCATATGGGATGCAAGGGATTTAATCTAGGTTGGCCCTGTGAAGGCAAATGCCCTACCTGTTTTATCTATCACTCAGTCCCAAATAATTTATAGTGTTTATCAGAATAAACCACATATAAAGTTATAAGCAAATTCATATAGGCAAATGTTTTATTTATGTTTATATTTCAGTATTGTTTATAACAATGTATTATCTGAATAAAAAATATTAGGGATTAGTAGGGCTGGAGTGATAGCACAGCGGGTAGGGTGTTTGCCTTGTGTGTGGCCCAGCCTAGCCAAGCCAGGTTCGATTCCTCCGCCACTCTCGGACAGCCGGCAAGCTACTGAGAGAGTATCTTGCCTGCACAGCAAAGCCTGGCAAGCTCCCCATGACGTATTCGATATGCTAAACACAGTAACAACAAAGTCTCCAATGGAGACGTTACTGGGCCCGCTCGAGAAAATAGATGAACAATGGGAGGACAGTGACAGGGATTAGTGAAATATAGTACATATTCTCATTAAAAATGTGTGTGGAACAATACATTCTATGAATGAATTGTTAGTGATAAAGAGAAGTGTTTATGATTCATTTGTTGTTATGGCAGAACCAGATAGAAATTTCATCCAGAATGCCATTTGAAAAATATGCCTCCTTTATTTGTGCTCTCACACGTAGTTTTTCTATTTCCATTCATGGAATCTGAGTGATCATGACCCAATTATGAGGTTGCTACCCTCCAAAATAAAAATACTATAGATTAGAGCTTTAATACATGGATTTGAGGCCAACACCCAGACTCAGTCATAATCAAAGGGTATTCAATGATGGAGTTTAAATACAGGTGCATTTGAAATGTACATGGTCTTTCTGGCTACAGATAGAAAAAGAATGGGTAGGTGGGTAGGAGGAAGACAGATACGGAAGTTAGCAAGTTTAAAAAGCATTTCCAGGAATCGAAATATAAAAAAGTATTTCTATACATCCAGAGCGGGTGATGTATGGCTTGATTGACAGTGGAACCTGAGAATAAAATAGGAGTTTCTACAGTCAACATGAGTTAAATCTTAACTGTCACTGTCACTATCCTCCCGTTGTTTATCAATTTGCTCGAGCAGGCCCAGTACCGTCACCATTGTGAGACTTGTTGTTGCTGTGTTTTGGCATAGCAAATATGTCACAGGTAGCTTGCCAGGTTTT